CAGTTTATATACAGTATAATTACCCAACGATATAATTGCGACAGAATATATTGAAGTGTATTTTTCTTCCCATTAGGGGTTCTATTTTTTAAAATGGAAATGTCCTAGCCTTATGAGCAGTTGATTTATGCTAATCGATGGACTGTTATGTTAATAAATGCCGTCATTCGGTTATGTTTATTATATTAATATGTTTCAGCATGTTACAATCATTATATGGCTTGAGTTAAGGTAGCCTATCTTCTGAATTAAACAGTTTATCATACAGATTCAAAGCGTGAATCCCATCTCTCTCTGTTTATGGGTGTTTGTGCGTGCTTGCGGGGGAGGGGTGCGATTTTCGAATAATAATCGAATAATACCCAGCGATTTTCGAATATTTATTATTTTTGGAATGCCCATCCCTAATATGTATGTCCAGGTGGCGAGGCCAAGTTTAGATTGTAACAGTCATTTGAGTGATGCAAGAAATTGAAGTTTCCTTTCCAGGATAATATCTCTGTTTATGGGTGTTTGTGCGTGCTTGCGGGGGAGGGGTGCGATTTTCGAATAATAATCGAATAATACCCAGCGATTTTCGAATATTATTTTTGCTTGGAATGCCCATCCCTAATATGTATGTCCAGGTGGCGAGGCCAAGTTTAGATTGTAACAGTAATTTGAGTGATGCAAGAAATTGAAGTTTCCTTTCCAGGATAATATCATGAAGCAATGCTGCTTTCATATTCATAGACCGCACATTTAATTGTGCAAGTCTGATTTTAGATGTTACATTCTTATTGCGCTTATTCCCCGAAGACGTTTGTGGGTAAAATAGATTAGACGTGCAGATACCATAGGAATTGAAATGTCCTGAGCCGGCAAGCATATAAACCCCGACGAGAGCCCCAATGTGAATATCTTGGCTGTCGCAACAGTGAAGTGCTCGCAGAGCATTTTGTGTACGATTACAGGGAGGCAAATGAAGATCCTATGAAAGAAGTTCAGAGAATGAGTACCTTATCATATTGACGTTCGACAGTTTGGATTCCTGTATTCCAGTGAGACCAATTCGAGTTGAAAATTTACAAATTAAATAACTTTATATATTGATAGCGGGATAAAGTCAAGTCAAGTCAAGTCACCTTTATTTATATAGCGCTTTTAACAATACAGATTGTGTCATTTGATAAACACAACATGATTTAAGTGTGTGAAGTAATGAAAGCATCAATTTAATAACTGATTTATTTTTGATTTTGACAGATCTGCTCCTCCAACCACACAGCAATTCACCTACAGTTCAGCTCCTCCCACAACAGTTTATGAAAGAAAGTAAAAAACATGACTGATCCAGAACCCAGCAGAATAAAACAGGAAGATACTGAACAACAAATAGGTTGGTGTATATTCTTGATTCTTCAATAAGGTTATACAACTTCAAGCAGTTTGTCAGATTCAGTGTTACAAGTTAGAAAAATCATAAAAGCTGTGAAATAACAATTAAATCTGCAGTACAGAAAAGACATGAAGTTACACGTTTCAGTGGTTCATTGTTTTAATGATTATATTGAGTTTAACTCCGCTATTCTGCGTGGATGAATACGATGGATTGTGGTGTACTGGCACCTGTGATAAAGGCATTAACAGTGCATGTCACTAATGCCATCAAAACTTGCCTCTCCAAAAAGAAGACATTAGGGCTGCCCTTGACTAAAGATTTTTCTGATCAACTAATAGTCGTTCATTTGAAGCGATTAGTTGACTCTTACCGCATGTTTATATTAATAAACCTTTAATTCATAATAATGAGCCTTTAATTGCCTGTAGCTTACAGCATTCAAGCACACGCATAAAGCTTGCAACAGCGCACTGCAGAAGTAATGATTATGAATGCTTTAGGGAAAAACCACAAGAAGACTGCTTTAACATAATATTTCATTGATAAACTAGTGTTTTCTGTATTTTCGGCTGCAGTGATCTCCATAGTGGACGCGCACATTTCATACAGATTACATAATCTGAACATTTTTGTTTTCCATTTTAATTGGTTCATTTAAAAGCAGACATTTCGATTTCTGTAGATATATTTTTTATGTTTTTGAGGCAAGCAGAGTATTGGTTCATTCATCGTTTTTTTTCTCTTAACTCGCACAAGTTCACAGAGACCTAGATGGCAGAAAGCGCACCCTGTTTGTTTTCATTATTTTACAAAAGCACAATGTTTTGATGTTATTCTGAGTGCACGCAAATAAAAGTAGACCTTTCACAGATTCAAAAGATATATTACTCTGACCAAAACTGACAGAATCTTTTAAGTTAAATGCAAATGATCGCACCGTGCCTCCAAGTTAACATGCAGTGAGCGCACTACTGTTCAGCTTTCACACGCCACACAAACACTTCAATAGCACACATTTTTCTAGGTTCAAGCTAGTGGTCATGTAATGATGTTACTACTTACATGTTTCAGATGATAAGCCACATTTGATGTCAGTGAACGAAACGAACATTTGCATGTCCTGAATGATGTACTTTAATTACCATACAGACCAGCTGTTAATAATCTGTCCGTCACGGACTACGTGACTTCGCCACTTTCTGTAGTTTTTTATTTAGCCAATGCAGAGATTGTAATATTGGGGTAATATGATCATATTTTCTTGACCTGGTAAGGACTCTAGCAGCTGCATTTTGGACTACCTGTAGCTTGTTTATTGAAGATACAGCAAGTTGCTGTCTAGTATAATACCTACATTTTTTACTGTAGAGGAAGTAACAGTACATCCGTCTAGATGCAAATTGTAAATACACAAATTAGCAGCATCATATGACCCCTTTAAATAGACAAAGTGATAACGATCGGACAGGTATGATCTAAACCATCTTAAAGCCTGCCCTTGAATACCCGTATAGTTCTATGAGTAGTATGTCATGATCTAAAGCAGGGGTGGCGAACTCCGGTCCTGGAGAGCTGCAGCTCTGCAGAGTTCAGCTCCAAGCCTAATTAAAACTCACTTGCCTGTAGCTTCCTAGTACCTTCAGACCTTGATTAGCTTGTTCAGGTGTGTTTGATTAGGGTTGAAGCAAAACTCTGCAGGGCTGCAGCTCTCCAGGACCGATATTCGCCACCCCTGATCTATAGTGTCAAATGCAGCACTAAGATCAAGTAAAACTAGCAATGAGATGCAGCCTTGGTCTGACGCAAGAAGTGTAATTTTAACAAGTGCAGTTTCTGTGCTATGATAGGGCCTGAAACCTGAAATTCTTCATAGATATCTTTTTTTTTTTTTGCAGGAAGGAGCACAATTGAGCAGACAACTTTTTCTAAAGCGCATCATTTGTTATTATCAACGTGAATGTTAAAGTCTCCGACAATGAACACTTTATCAACATTAACCAATAGATCTGAGAGGAAATCTGCAAATTCTTTTAGGAAATCTGTATATGGCCCTTTCTGTCTGTACACAGTAGCCAGAGCAAGAGATAGGAGAGATTTCTTTTGCATATCTGACAGTGTAATATTAAGTAGAAGTATTTCGAATGAGTTAAACCTGTATCCTGTTTTCTGAGTAACATTGAAAATATCATTATGTATTGCTGCAACACCACCACTACGACCAATCCGACGGGCTTATGCTTATAACAGTTGCTTGGTGGAGTAGACTCATTTAGACCAATATAGTCATTTGGTTTGAGCCAGGTTTCAGTCAAGCAGAGTACATCAAAACTATTATCTGTGATCACTTCATTTACAATAACTGCTTTAGGTGAGAGTGATCTAATGTTTAGGAGCCCAAGCTTTAAAAATTGTTTTTGTTTATTTATTTTGCATTTTTCCAGTTTAATCACGATCAGATTTTTACTAGTCAAGTCAAGTCAAGTTTATTTGTACAGCGCTTTTCACGATACAAATCTTTGCAAAGCAACTTTACAGCAAATTAAGTTTCTACAATATTTAGTAGTAGCTTATCAGTGGTGACATATGTTTATGTACATATGGCAGAAATGTACGGAAGAATCAATTAAAGACGTAATCAAACAGACGATGAACACTATTAACAGCAATTATTATATGATGCAATCAAACTTATAGCAAAATGTGGTAGTTCTGTATGTTGTTTCAGGGTTGGCATCATCTGAGGTCCTCTGAGGGGTTGGCATCATCTCTTCTCAGGTGTTCTGGGTCCAGACTGAAGCTTGTGTAAATCCTACGGCAAAAAACAGAGAAACAAATAGAGACATAATTAGCGTAGCTGCTGTTCCAACCAAGCAAAATTGATTTGTTTAACCCAAACTAAAGAATAATAATGTGCATTTGATCAGATATAACTGCAGTACAAGATTATGAGATGCATTATTTGAATGCTTGGCCAAAGAGGTGTGTCTTTAATCTAGATTTAAACCGAGAGAGTGTGTCTGAACCCCGACTAGAGCCTGCATTAAATGTATATTTTGCCCTCATTATTTGGGGAACAGACACAGTCTTTAATGATAGAAGTACTTGCATTGTCCAATCTATAAAGTGGGTAGAACAAAAGCCATCATAGCAGTTATTTGAGAATTGGCTTACTAGTCATATGGAGCGTAGTGTCCTGGAGATGTTGTCCGACAGGAGTTCTGCACTGACTCTCCTGGGATGCAGGCCATTAGCACGAAAAAGCCTAAGCCTAGAAAAGATTCCAATTATTAACAAAGAGCAGTTTCTGTTCTTTACACCATGACAATAACCATTAATTTAAAGCAAAAAGTCTACTGAACCTTTCATGTCCTCGTCGATACGTGGGAAGCGGTCCTGACACGATGATCGTCGTCGCGGGCGATGTGCGGCGCACCGTCTCGATCAGGCTCCTGAAGTACCTCTTCAGTGTCTCCGTCTGCCCCAGCTTGGTGTCGTTAACCCCCGCGTGAAGCACAACCGCGCCGATACTCTCGTCGCCCTTCAGGATCACGGGCATCTGCGCAGAAACATCGAGAACACGAGCACCAGGGAAACAGTGAGTGTGCACTTTACCTTCAGCCAGGGCCGGGTCTAGGGGGGGGCTAGGGGGGGCAATGCCCCCCCAGATTCTCCTTGTGCTCCCCCAAAAAAATGTCCAGCCAAAAAAATAAATAAATAGAAAATAAGCATTAAACACTTATTATTTGTACTATCTAAATAAGGATCAGTCACTTTGTTCAAAGGAAAATTTAACAATTATGCACATAATGACATTTGAACTCATAGCCACAAAATTGTATTACCGTATTGACCCGAATATAAGACGATGTTTTTTTTTCTTGGAAATACATCTGAAAAAACACGGTCGTCTTATATTCAGGGTCTAGACTTTGACATGTCAATAATACACCCACAACAATAAATGGCGCCAAATACGCATAAAACAGAAACATTATCTTGAAAATAGGGAAAATTAAATGAACAGTGCTAGTTGATGAGACTACTAGCATACTAAATGAACAATAAATGGCCACTAGATGTCAGCAAAATTGCACCCACAAGAAGCATTTACTTGGTTGAAAAAGCAATATGAAAGGCAACAATAAAGGGTTTGTTTACAAACGTTTGGGTTCTGTAAGAATTTTTTTAAATGTTTTTGAAAGAAGTCTCTTATGCTCACCAAAGAGCATTTATGTCAAATAGATTTTTTTGTAACAATGTTAAAGTCTTTACTGTCACTTTTGATTAGTTTATTGCGTCCTTGCTAAATAAACATATTAATATATTTTTTAAAAAACGTATTGACTCCAAACATTTGAACAGAAGTGTAATAATATTAATAGTAAAACTATTAACAACCATATAATAATAATGACTAACTTGAATTTAAATTATTTTTAAATGTTTAAAAAAAAAATAACTTTCCTGTCACAAGCCGAAATGTGTTATGATTAACATTAACTTATGATTAGCTACGCTAATTATGTCTCTATTTGTTTCTCTGTTTTTGCTAGGATTTACACAAGCTTCAGTCTGGATCCAGAACACCTGAGAAGAGATGATGCCAACCCCTCAGAGGACCTCAGATGATGCCAACCCTGAAACAACATACAGAACTACCACATTTTGCTATAAGTTTGATTGCATCATATAATAATTGCTGTTAATAGTCAGTTAATGCACATATGGCAGAAATGTGTGGAAAAATCAATTAAAGATGTATTCAAACAGACGATGAACACTATTAACAGCAATTATTATATGATGCAATCAAACTTATAGCAAAATGTGGTTGTTCTGTATGTTGTTTCAGGGTTGGCATCATCTGAGGTGCTCTGAGGGGTTGGCATCATCTCTTCTCAGGTGTTCTGGATCCAGACTGAAGCTTGTGTAAATCCTACGGCAAAAAACAGAGAAACAAATAGAGACATAATTAGCGTAGCTGCTGTTCCAACCAA